CTGTTGAAGTCCTGGTGTGGCACGGTAGGTTAACACAATGGGCTGCAAAGTCAGTTTGATCTGCAAGGTCGGTGGTTCAAGCTCACCAGTCACTCCTCAGAAACTCTATACAGAGTCACTATAGGTCAGATCCAACTCAACAGCACTTAACAACAACAACTAACAAGATCAGTAGACTTATTGTTGTCCTGTTAAGTGCTGTCAAGTCACTTCTGACTCAGAGCGACCATATGCAGTGTTTCCAAGGGGCAGCTGGTAGGTTCGAACTGTTGACCTTGTGGTTCACAGTTCAGTGCTTATCCTCAGAGCCACACCAAGAGATTTATTGATAGGCTTTAACTATTCAATTAATAGGGAAATGTTCTTGTTGTTAAGTGCTATTGAGTCAGTTCTGACTCATAGCGACCCTGTGTAGGATGTCCATGGAGCAACTGGTAGGTTTGAACTGCCAACTTGTAGTTTGCAGTTCAGCACTGATCCTACAGCGCCACACCAGGACTCCAATAGAGGAATACAACCTCTTTTTATGGAGTTAAAACATTATAGATAAAATAAACGTTCACCTCCCAGACTCTCCTACCACTCTCACAGAGTAACCACTATTTTCAATTAAGTAAGCACACACACACACATACCTATGAACCAGGGCAACATGCTGTCTGATCCAGATAGCAATTAACATATGATGTCATCTCACCTGAATACTGTTCCTGCACTTGAAATCACACCAGCAGCGCGGGTTGCTATTGATTCAACCACAACTCATGAAGACCCCACATGTGTCAAAGTAGAACTGTGCTCCATAGTGTGCTCAGTGACTGATCTTTTAGAACTTGATCACCAGACCTCCATAGTGACGCTATATAAGGTTTCTGAGGAGGGGCTGGTGAACTTAAACTGCTGACCTTGTGGTTCAAAGAGTTTGCAGTCCAGAGCATTAGCCCACAGTGCCACACCAGGACTCCCTTAGTGATCCAGGGGCAGGTATAATGACTAAAGTACATTAGGGACAAAAGGCATTGTTATCCAGACAGCAGGACAGGGTTGTTATCCAGATAGCAGGTTGATGGTGAGTGGTTGGGAGGTGGTCATCTGAGCAGAGGAAGAAAGGAATATAAATCCCCAAACTCCTCACATCCAGCCATCCAGATTCAGCCAGAGAAGTTTCTACTACTTGGCCTCTGTCTCCAAAGTGGACCAGACCAGAGCTTGTTCCTCTCCCCTTACCTAGGGAGATGGGAAGGAGGCAGTCACCTCATTATTCAGTTGGCACCTGCTTTCTGACCCAGATGGAGACGTGAACACACTAACTTTCTTAACAAGTTAATCAGAAATCAAATAATCTACATCCTGGATAATGAAGTATTAACCATAATTTTGTGTTATCTATAGATTATATAAGGAAATCTGGTAGTGTAGTGGTTGGGCTGCTAATCTCAAGATCAGCAGTATAAAACTGCCAACTATTCCACAGGAGAAAGATGAGGCTTTCTGCTCCTGTAAAGATCTATAGCCTCAGAAACCCTGTACAGGGTCACTGTGAGTCAGACAGACTCCACGATACTCAGCAACAAGACTAGATTATATAAGAAGTCTTGGTGTCACTGTGGGCTACACATTCAGTGGCTAACTAAAGGTTGACAAAACCCACCAGCTGCTTCATGGGAAAAAGATGAGGCAATCTGCTTCCGTTAAGATATACAACCTTGGAAGCCCCATGGGGCACAAAGACCCTCTGTCCTACAGGGTCCCGGTGTCAAAATTAACTCAGTGGCAGTGGGTGGGTTATAGATTTTCTTCCTCTTTTACTTAACTCTCCCTTTACTTCTCTGATACCCTCCCAAGCCCACTTATGCCTCCAACTGCACTAATAATTTGTACTAATGACAACGTGTCTTTGTTTAGAAACGTGTTGTTGTTAAGTGTTGTTGAGTCAGTTCTGACCCATAGCGAATGCAAGTAGGGTTTCTGAGGAGCAGCTGGTGAGCTTGAACCACCAATCTTGTGGTTCAGACCATCTTTGGAGTCCAGTGCATTATCCCACAGTGCCCCCGGGAAGTGCAGCCATTTTTAGAGCGTCGCAGCTTTGCTTGGTCAAGAGTAACTATAACCAAACATTGCCTGGAAGCATCTTATACACACCTGCCAATTTGTCCTTGTTTCTTAAATGTTTGTTTTGACTGTTTTAGGTTGGAATGTTGATCATTGGTTGGCTCCTCATGGAGCCCGGTCTCTGTTCTGATAAGGAGTGGACAGCTGAACAAATAAGCACTGGGATAGTTAATCATGCCCTCCTTTGAGATGTTTACTGGGATATCATGACCACCTTGTGATTTAGTATGAATGTTAGAATTGCAGCCTCCCTGTATGGAGAATATGATTAACCTTATCAAGAAGTAGTATAAAAGGTGCTTGTAACAAAGAGTCGGTTGAACATCAATTGAACTAACCCGTTTGCTGGGAGGTGCCCTGTTACTTGACTTCCTAATACCCTTCTCTTTCTTTGCTTATCTGGAGTGGTTATGAATTGAACTCAGTCACACCAGGGCAACAAATCCAAGCTTTGAGGAAACACTAATGTAGAATTAATTGTAAGTGTTATGCATTTGTTTTCATTTCTGTTTGTTGATGTTCTTAGTAGTCCAGCATTTCAAGAAATTAAGAATACTGTCTAAGTTCTTTGCATTTACAAGGGTCTGCTCTATCAGAAGACCCTCAATGAGATGGATTGGCCAAGTGGCAGCATCAATGGTCTCAAGCATGGCAACAGTAGTGAGGTTGGCCCAGGATCAGGCAGTGTTTCATTCTACTGTGCATAAGGTCGCTATGAGTTGGTACCGACTCAATGGCATCTATTGGAACCAACTTGATGGCACTTAACAACTCTACTATAGAAGAACTGATGCATATTGAAGGAGAATATTAATAGTACCATCGACCGCCAAAAGAACAAACAAATCTGTGTTGGAAGAAATACAATCAGAATGCTCTTTAGAAGCTAGGATGAACTGACTTCTTATATTATACTTTGGACACATTATCAGGAGGGGCCAGACCCTTGGTAAAGTGGAGGGTCAAAGAAAAGGAGGAAGACCCCCCAAAGAGATGGATTGGCACAGTGGCAAAAACAATAGGCTCAAGTGTAACAACAATTGTGAGGTTGGCACAGGACTGGGCATTGTTTCATTCAGTTGGGCATAAGGTCACTATGAGTCAATACCAACTCAACAGCACCTAACAGCAACACTTATTCTGTTTATGAGAAATGTACCATGTAAATGAAATAAATTATTCAAATTCACCTCATATGAAATTCGTGTAGAATCTTTATACACATTTTAAGTTAGGAGAGTGTGTCTTTTTTACTGATTGCCTATAGGAAGAGTTGTTTTGGTAGGCATCAAGGTAAGTGGCCTTGTCTACTTTTGTGTCAATGCCAATGTGGAAGCTGATACAAACCACAGGACAGAAGCAAGAGTTCAACAGATGAGGAAAGTTAGAATGGGGATGAGCATGGGATTAAAAATTCTTGTTGGGGGGTTTAGCATCTTAGAATGGATACTGGATTTTTGGACAGGTCAGAGAATGGTGCTGCCTACAATTTGCAGAGCCTGGAGAGAGACATCAGTTGATATCAATGCTCACCCTAAGACTATAATAAAGAAGACTTGGAAGAGGCTTATCATGGCTTTATTTAAAGAAATAAATTTCCATATAACCACGATGTCATATCGCAGGGAAAAGTTAAGTAAAAAATCATAAGAACCCATCAAAAGAATACAATGCAGTCAGGATAGACTATAAAAGTATTACAATGATCATAAATGGTACAGTGAAAAAATACAGAAAATGACTATGCTAATTGATTTCAGCTTCAAAAGTACTCATAAGAAACATATTAGATGTAATTACACAAAAAAATACTAACTTTTCAAATGACAGGTTATGGTTATCTTCTTCCTATACATATGTTTGTTGTTGTGGTGGTGAAGTGTCATTGAGTCAGTTCCGACCCATAGCTACCCTGTCTAGAGTTTCTGAGGAGCGACTGGTGAGCGTGACCCACCAACCTTACTGTTCAAAGAGACTTTGCAGTCTGGTGATTTAACCCACAGCGCCACACCAGGACTCCTTGAGTCCTTACACATATCAGTATATATATATGATTTCCAAATATGCTAAAATGACCATATACTTATATTTTATAGTCAGAATATATCATTATCTGTAAAGGCTGTATTCTGCTACCGTAGCCATCAATTTATTAAATCTTATAATCCAGGGCATATTAGATTGTGCTTTAAGTAAATGATTTTACAAAACAGCTGGCATATTTAAGTTTAGGTTAAAAAAATAAGTCCACAATATTTTATTTGCAAAATGTACTCAGCATTTAGTCATGCTAATAATAGCAAAAACTAGTCAGATATTATAGATTGTTTGCATTAAAACAAACACAATGTAGGCCTAGATCAGCGATTACTATTGTTTTGTTAATTTTGTCTACTACCTTTTCCTATCTTTACTTCTTCTCTTCAATGTAAAATAAGCAGTTTAATTTTTTTAAACTTTTATTATTATTGAATGTTTAAACTTCAGAATTATTTGTTATTAACTAAAGTAATATGAAACATTTTTTTCTCTACAATTAAGGATAGAACTCTGGTGGTGGTGGTGTGCCGTGGAGTCGGTTCCGACTCATAGTGACCCTGTACAGGGTTTCTGAGGCTGCAAATCTTTACGGGAGCAGAAAGCCTCATCTTTCTCCCACGGAACCAGTGGTAATTTCGAACTGCTGACTATGAGGTTAACAGACCGATTCATAACCACTATGATTCTGTTGTTTGTTAAATGTCATTGAGTTGGTTCCAATTCATAGTGACCCTGTTGAGAGTTTCCAAGGAGCAGCTGATGAGTTTAAACTGCCAACCTTGAGGTTAGCAGTCCAGTGCTTATCCTACAGTAAAAAGCTAAAATCAGTTATTAGAAGGTTGATGATTTTAAGGTTCTTCCTGTGGAAGGAGTTTCCATCTTACTGTTGCATCAATTTCATCGTCAAAATTTCCAAGTTCCTGTTCTTTAGAGAGTTCTAAGAACACCTAAATAGGAGAAAAGAAAATTAGGAGTCAAAAATGCCAAGCTGATGCTCTTCTTTTATAAAGATGGAGGTACACAAACATGCACACAAATGTGACCCAAATGACGTTCACTTGTTTAAAGAAAACCCACCTGTTCCAAAGTAGACTGAGAGAGACTGTATTCTTCCAGGTCAAAGGTCTGTTTCACTGCATTTAAAAGGAATGGCATTAAAGCATATGTTTTACCAAAAGAGTTTTGAAAGTCATGTAATATGCTAACTTCAAATCCATTGTTGTTGTTGTTAAGTGTCATCGAGTCGGTCTCAACTCATAATGACCCTGTATAGGGTTTCCAAGGAATAGCCAGTGAGTTTGAACTATCGACCTTGTGGTTCAAACCGGCCTTGTGGGCCAGTGCTTTATCCCACAGCACCACACCAGGACTTAAAGCTATTAGATACTTTAAAATATAGACTAAATAAGCCTATATTTTCATGGAGGGTAAACTAAAGATACAGCTACTCAAAAGATAACAATGTATAAATGTATTATTGTTATTAAGTGCTATCGAATCGATTCCAACCCATAGCAACCCTGTAGAGGGTTTCCAAGGAGCAGCTGGTGAGCTTGAACCACCGACCTTGCAGTTCAAACAGCTTTTCAGTCTGACTTATTAGCCCACAGTGCCACACCAGAATTCTATAAATGTATTAAACTATCAATAAACTTTTCTCTAAAGTATTCCTTATGACTTATTTCAATATTTTGCATTCAGTAATTCACTCAAGTCTGTTTTTTGACTCCAAATCAATTATTGGTCTTTGAAGGTATACAGCATTCAGTGGGACATTATTTTCTATTTATGTACCTATGGGGAGGACCACTACACGGACCCCTTTTATTGAATTCCACATTTCTGCATGTCAAGAGTATCCTCATAAATACCCAGTGTGAGTTCTACCCAGAGTCTTGGAATTAGTTCAGATCCTCTTACTGACTTGTAACATCTCAGCATATATAGTAGACCTTCATTTATTCCTGCTCTGGGCACTCCTGTCTTTCATAAATATGGAGAAATTCTTCCTGTGGAAGGAGTTTCCATCTTACTGTTGCATCAAAATTTCCCATATAAAATTTCCAGTATAAAAGCACAACTCAGTATTCTTTGGGGCTACTTTCTGGTAATTATGTTCTATTGCCGTACACTGAGACGAGGCTAAGCAAGACTTCCAGCGGCTTGACGTCAATTGTCAATTCTTGAGGACACATGACCCACGTTGCTTCTTCTGGGCTTCCTTGTTAGGAGAAACCGAATCAGGCTGAGTCTGGACTCACCACTCCATTCCCTCCAACATGTTTTAGTTGATTTCAGTGAAGGTTTTCTAGGTAGGTTTTGGTTGATTATAGAACTTTTCTATTTGAGATCATATAGAATGTATTCTATATGAAAACATATCCAACTCACTGCCTTCAAATTTGATTCCAACTCATAGCACCCAATAGGGCAAAATAGAACTGCGATGTTGTGGGTTAATGTGCTGGACTGCAAAGTCGGTATGAATCGCAAGGTCGGTGGTTCAAACTTAGTCACTCCTTGGAAAACTTATACCGGGTCACTATGGAACCTACTAGATGGCACTTAACAGCAACAACAACAATCATTATTCAAAAAGAGTGCCACAATCTTTTTCCAATGGACAACTGGAGGGTTTGAATCATCAACTTTTCCAGTTAGTATCCAAGTGCTTTAACCATTGTGTCACAGGACTTCTTACCAATATATGTTGGTGTTAAGTACCGTTGAATAGGTTCTAACTCATAACAACCCTATATAAGGTTTCCAAGAAATGGCTGGTGGGTTTGAACCATAGACCTTGAGGTTAGCAGTCCAGTGTTCATTCTACAGTGCTATATGAAGACTTCATATATACAGTCGTATTTAAATATGTCCAAACTTACCTGCCTCTAATTTGGAAAAGGCCTGAGAGAGGGGGTGAACATTGCCCACCGGCAACTTATATGCCATCAAAGAAGAATGCCTAGGAAGAGAAAAGAACTATATTTACCAGTGGATTTCAGTACAATATTGAGGAGGAACTAATAGTAAAAATAAAATATTTCCAATGTCTCCTTAAATAACATGAATGTTCTGATTGATAAAGGATGAATCTGAGTCAAAGAATTTATACTGAGTCATTAAAAAAAATTGGTTACCATAAAATTTTGCTCGCCTCTAATTTAATGTTGAAGATAAATTCTGAAAATACCTCTGGTAAAGAATTTCACATTTAGCCTGTGCTAAGGA